ATGGGATTTTAAAACTGCAGTGCAATGAAAAACATCCACTGGGCAGTGCGAATAAACATAAAAATCCTATTAAAAATATATGTACATAAACTGTGCTGCCACATAGAGGCTTTGGTGACAGCTCTCCCAATTTATCATGAATTTTGCAGTTGGCAGCGCTTTTATTTTTAATGCCTTGCCATTGGAGTCCTGCTATTGCAGGAGCCTTTTTCTCTATCTTTTTAATACAAGCAAGAATGTAGCTGCCATTTTTGCAGAGGGAGGCTGTAAAAGGTGAAATAAGCACAGTGTAAGGGATCTAAGGCCAGAAGACTGGTCAAAAAATCCACAGTGTTTATTAATTTCTTTATTTTTTAACATTTGGAGTTAGCGGTGGCTGCAAACATTAAGTCATATCATGATGAACTGAATGAGCAATTGGTTCATTCAGGGTACCAGGACATCACGCAGAGTACTCTGCTATAATGCAAAAAATTGTGTACTGAGTGAAAATAAGCGCTTAGGAGATGGTCCAACACATGACACCAAAGAAACAAACCAGCTGAGTGCCTTCATTTCTCTCCAAGCACTACAATAAATCCATCATGTATCTACAGTTTCACCTGAAAGCTAGTAGGTGTCCTCAAGTGGGTGTCTGATTGAACGAGGTCCACAGAACACAGCTCACGGGGTATCCTTTTGGAGGAAGGGAATAAGTCCCTGGTTGGCAGTGCTTTGCACAGCACCGATCGAGATGTCAGTGTGAGTAGGCAAGATGCATTTCTGCTATGGAATGGTGCATTTCCTGGTTATCCCCCCCTTAACTGTAACCCTTTTATGAGAAATTTGAACCCATTTAAATTACGTACAGAAAGGGGAAAAAAAGTTCTGTTGGTGTTGCACTTTCTCAGAGCATTTTGCACATTTTCCAGTGCTCTTCTGGAGCGGGAGGACTCTCTCCCCATGCTTTGCCTCCTGCAGTACAGGATCCGTGAGACTGGGCGGTCCCCAGGGTGGAAAACCAAGTCAGAAAATTGTTGCTGTTTTCCCACCGTTGTGCAGACTCACACCGTCGAGCTGACTCCTTCGGTCAGGGCTGTAAACCAGATTTTTCCTCCCTGCTTTCTGTGACCACCTTGGCTGCTTGCAAAGACCCATGAGCTGGAAGCTCATCATCTGGCCAGCATCCTCCCAAAGGTATTTTAAGAGCAGCATGTGGAGCACCAGCTCGTAGTGCTTACAACACTTTGTAGCGTTCCAGCAGCAGCAATTCAATCCTTATTTGGGTTTCAGCCAACGTTTGTTGTCCTCACTGGAAATGGTATTGATTATTTGAGCTCAGGAGCCAGTTACGGCCAGTACGGTACTCACCACCTCGCATCCCAGGATGACGTGTGCCATGGAGGCTGCTTTACCTCAACTGTACCTGCCAAATGGGCCAGTGAGGCTCTGGACAAACCTCTGACCTTTTAAATCACCCATGGTGTGAATAAGCAGTTAAACTCTCACCCTAAACCTTTCTTGACACGTTTGTTGGGTTTGGTTTGAGCAGCGTTGGCATTTGTTGTGACACAGCAACAACCCTTGGGTGTTGCTGTGTCCCACACGGCATCTGTCAGTCTGCCTGGTGGCACTGCAGATGCCATGCAGTGGGGAGAATTTTGGATGACAGAAAGCTACTGTGCCAATGGAGGGCGGTGCCATGGGCTATTGGAGCCCCCCAGCAATTGGTACCTAGCGCTGCACTGCCATGCAGAGTCATACGTGAGACGAGTGCTGTGCTTGGGCTGTCAGGGTGATCGCATCTTGCATAGGTTGGTGGGGTTCCATGCCAGTCACCGTGAAATGCCAGCTGGAGTCTGTGAGCCTCCTCTGCTTGCCAGTGATGGTTGTGATGATGGGCAGCAAACGATGGGTATGGACCAGGTCTGCGAAGTGTTACACAGCAAAACCACAAAAACGTAAAGGCTTGGCCTCAATGTAAATTCAAAGGACCCTGATTATAACAAACAAAGCCCAAGTCTTTGACCTCTTAGAGGTCCTTCTCAGCCAAAGGTGAGAAGTCCCCTGTGATCAGAAGCGCGAGTGACCTGCACTCTGATAAATCAGTTGCAAGAGGATCTTGAGAGCCCAACAGAGAGATTTCTGTGCTGATCTCGCAGTGAGGACAGGACACGCTGTGACGCTGAAGCTGTGGTGTTAGGAGCTCTGCCCTCCTTTGGGGGACATGGTGGAGGTGGTGGGTTTGGGGGGTTGGTGCTGAAACATGGACAATTCCTTATTTTGCTCTTTATTTATTACCTTATTCTGCCTCACTGAGTCTGCGTTAATGTTGCGTCTGATGTTTTCAGCTCTCCTTGGGTTTGCTGCATTTAACAGCTTCCCGGGCAAAGCGCCTTCCCACGTGGCCTATTTGATGCTATTTAGATGAATTTGTTGAGCCTCTAGCCTGGGTTTGTTTCATTAAAATTTGGGCTGTACTTTTCCATCTGGCTGCCTAGTAGAAACTGTGTCCAAAATTGGTATTTCAGTCAGTTTCTGTATATTTTTTGCAAAGTTAATTGAATTATGAGAAACAGGTTACTGAAGCAAATGCAGTGGTCTCTGTCACACTTCGTAGGGCCTGTTGAACACATAAAGCCAAACATGATCAACACTTTCCAGTAATTACAAATGCAACGATCAGCCTTCCTGCCCCCTGAGGAAGAGGTTGGTGAGGTCTTCTTGGGGCAGCTCCTCCAGCACCACTGAGCCAGAGCGAAATGTGATAATACCTCTGTGAAGTATTGCGTCTTCCATCACATCCCTGACCCGAAATAGTATTTAAACTGGTATTTAATGAACTGTAGCCAGGCCCGCGTCACCCGTACGAAGCAGGAATATCGTGTACTCTGTTTATAGAGAGGAAGACTCGTGATCTCGCTCCTGGTAACGAGTCATTAGGGGACTTGGGCACATCTGGGACGTGCCCACCGTGGCTGGGACAGGTCGGTGAGCACAGGACCCCGAGCGCGTGGAGCTCCCTACGCATCCTGCACAGCTGCCGGAGTTGCTGGGCAGCCGCGCTGCCAGAGGCTTTTGGGGATGAGTTTGCAGAGAGGAAAGGTGTCACTTGACCTTTCTGTGATGTAGTTGCCCGGCTGCTTTCATGGCTTCGGGCTGCAGGAAAGGGAAGTGTAAATACCGAGGACGTGCAGGTGGCCTCGCCTGCGCCTGCCTGCTCCGCGCTGCCAGGGAGCAAATACATGTCCAAAGAAGGAACACATCTTGGTTTTTTTTTTTTCCTTCTTCTTATTTATTTCACAGGCAAGGAGCAGAGGTGGGAATGAAGGAAAAAAAGACGTCAGCTGCTTATTAGATCAGCAGCAGTTGTTTTGAGCCCTAGCTTCTCTATGCCAATTGGTGTAGTAAGCTTTGTTTTGGAGGTGCTTTTCTGATGCAGAGGGGTGTCTGATCAGAAAATGGTGTTTTGCTGCAATAATTTTCTGCAAGCAACTTGCACTGGTCTCTCTGAGGTAACATGCTGTTGATTAATGCACAAACTTACTCACTCTCCCTGGTGTCTAGTTTTCATTCCATGTAAGCTCTGATTATTCAGTAAAAAAGAAACATTGGCCTGTGAAGCTAAACATCAAAGTGCAGAAGCAGAACCCTCAGTGTCCCCACTGTTTGCAGTGTGTTTGCTCAGGGTTATTTTTATACCACACACAATTGAGGTTATTGAGGAGAGCAAAACGAACAGTATTTGTTATTCAGTTCATTTTGGGTTTTCAGCGCTGTCGTTGTCTCACAGCAGTGGTGCCTGGGGATTCAGGGGGTGTGGGGTTATGAATTTATTACATGGTGTCTGGAGCTGTACAGAAAGCTCCCAAAGGTCTCGCTGAAGGAGAAGGGAAGGATACCGTATGGAGGAGCCAGGAGTGGGTGGACAGAGTAGGAAACATGGGTGTGGAGACATGAAGTGGCTTGTCTACAGTGCCAGGGCTGACTGCGAGAGCAGCAATACTGGGATTTATGCTTTTGGACTGCTGTATCTAAGCAAAGTGTGTAGGTTTCCGCTGGGACCTCTGCTATGTCTTTGATGGCTGGATCTGTATCTGAGGTCAGGTTCCTTATGCCAAGTAGATTTAACTGGGATTATGCATTTCTAAGTCCGGATCGGAACTGTTTGCCGTATAGTTTGCCAACCAAAATCCAAAGTCCGGAGAATCTTAGAGAAATTTATGCCTTCGTTCCAGAGTCCATGTTTGGTTTTACGGGCTGTTAATACATCAATGTTTCTTTAAAATAGTTAATAATTTGTATCATTTACAGTGATTTAGCTGCAGATTTTTAACTACTTAATGACAATAGACTAGAAGGCAATGGAATGGAACTGGGGTTATTCTTAAAAAGATTTCCGTTGTATTAGTATGTGATCACCTTGTAGTCTCTAGTGTATATGTTACACCACCCATCTCTTACAGAGCGGTGCAGCTCTCGTCTTCTGCTTTAGCAATGGAGGCAGCAGCCTGCAGATGTGTAGGGTACCTGCTCTGCATCTCCAAAGTCTTGGGCTAGTGCCCAGGCTGCTCTGTCAGTCTCCATCTCAAGTCCAGAAGAAGAAAATTTGGGTTTAGAGCAGGAAAAAGGAAACAAAAGAGACCAGAAAACCTCAAGTAAAGTATTTGGAGAAATCGTGTGATAGAAGAGATTCGAATTAAGTCAAAGACCTCAGGCTGTTTCCACGTGGGGAAGTAAGCAGTGCTGGTCGCTGGCATCCAAGCGAATCACTGAGGCTCATGGAGTTCCCTGTGTTGTCCTTGAAAATCTGTATGAATCCTGCAGTGGAAATTGATGCAACTGGTATATGTAAAAAGTGGCATGGTGCCAGCCTGCGGAGCAGCATGGGGAGCTGGATAAGTGGGCTCATCTTATTCCTTGCACTGAGGTCTGTGCTAACCACATACGGACCAGATGGTGGAACTGACTCTCTCTGCCTCTGAAATAAACCTCTGTCCTCCCCCTCTGTCTCTTTGCAGAGCTCCCTTCCTCGGAACACTTGAGCGTGGCTGATGCGACATGGCTTGCCCTCAATGTGGTGTCTGGTGGAGGTGGCTTCTCCGGCTCCCAGCCCATCGGAGTGACCAAAATTGCCAAGTCAGTAATAGCACCGCTAGCTGACCAAAACATCTCAGTGTTCATGCTCTCCACCTATCAGACGGACTTCATCCTGGTAAGAGGCCATGAGAGGACCAGAGTTACCTGCCACCAGATGAAAGTTCAGTTGGGCAGTTTTAATGACATTTCTGGGAACAAGTTGTTCGAGGAGCAGCAGAAGTACCAAAGTCTGCTTTCCCCGGAGCTCTGTGCCTTGTAGTTAGGCTCTCTGACATCTCAGGAGCTTTTCCCATGGGATGAGGCATTTGTTGTTATGGTTTATCTGGTGTCTAATGAGAGTGCTGAGCCCACGCTGCAGTCTCTCCCTTAATGGAGGCACTGGCAGCTCTTTCCACCATCACTCAGACATTGGTTTTCTGAGTGTTAGAGGAACATAGTATCTGCTGTTAGGTTGGCTGATGATGGCCAAGAGGCTTCAAAGTTGTTTTGGGGATAGACAGACAGACTGTCTTTTTATCTCATGTGCATGTGTCTGCACACATAGAGGGCACGACCACATAAGCTTTATTTCCTTAGGAAGCCAGGCTGAAGAACAGGTAGTGCTGAGTTCTTGAAGGGATGCTGGAAAAGAGGTGAAACATCTCCCTCTTAGAA